CCCCTTTAAACTCAGTATCGCTTTAAAGACAGTGCCCCTTTAAACTCAGTATCGCTTTAAAGACAGTGCCCCTTTAAACTCAGTATCGCTTTAAAGACAGTGCCCCTTTAAACTCAGTATCTCTTTAAAGACAGTGTCACTTTAAAAACAGTACCCCTTTAAAAACATTGCCCTTCAAACTCTGTGCCCCTTTAAATACAGAACTGCTTTAAATTTAATGCCGCTTTAAATGTAATAAATAGGGCAACAGCCAATGAATAGAATCAGTGGTGGAGTGGGAGTGAGAAACTCTGGGAAAGTTATAAGCCTGCATGTAATGGTACAGGAGTGTTTAATTATTGGAATATTGCACTCGGTCACAAATTGCTTCCAGTTTCATTAGAGTCTGAAGGAAGATGTCTATATTTAGTGAGAGAATTTGGTCACCTCTGCATAAAACAATTGGGATTTATTCAGCACTGGACTAAAAACCCAAAAGCTAGCTGCCAATGGTGCGCAGGCGATCAGACATTCCTTTCCCTAGTATGTCAGAGGCAGAATATTCTCCGCTGCATTTGGGAACAGCTGATGCCAGTGTCAGACCGATCACATAGGGCAGGCTGTCTGAGGGAGCTATAGATTTACATGGGCTGGATCTGCAGCATCTGCAACTTCAATCAGACCTCTGGCCATACCCGTGCCTCTGGTGCCGTGTCACCCTCCTGCCTGATAGCATCCCCATCTCTGCCGTCGGATGTGCAAGCATGCTTGCGGGCGAACACCTCAACGAGACCAAAATCGACCTCGGTGGGGGGCAAGGGGAGCCGGATCAAAGTGTCCCGACACCTAAGGGACAGCCCTCATCGCTGGAAGACCGGGACCCCAGAGGCATCAATGCCCACTTAAAGGTAAGAGACTCTCACCCATATCGTAAGAAAGGCTTCAGGCAGAGCTCAAGCATTTTAATCAACAGAGTGCAGGGCCCTTGCAGTAACCTGGATAATTGTTTGTTTACAAAATAAAGCCCCTCTGTATGGCTTGTCCATGAAGGGTGCATTTTCTGAAACCCCGCCCCAGTCTGTAGTCTATTTTGAGGGGAAGGCAGGTCAGCAAGTCGAGCACAGAGCTTCGTCCAGCTAATCCATGGTGCTCCCTCTTGCCTGGGCACCATGCTTCATATCGAACATATGTCTCTCCAGTTGACCTCCGAGCCTGATCCTCTCATTGCGGTTTGCAAGTAAATGACCCCTTCATAATAGTGCACTGGGCAAATGTCTTTTGGTCACTGGGCAGGTTCAACATGAACTCCACCCATCATCAACAATTTGGCACTGCCATTCATTGACACAGCCCATTTTGTGTGTAGGTAAACAAACCATAAAGATCCCCCTCGGTGCAATTGTTTATGTATGTATGCAATTTAAAGCCCTGCACAGAGTTATGGAGGACAAGGTGCAGAGCTGGATGAACACAGCAGGCCAAGCAGCATCATAGGAGCAGAAAGGCTGACGTTTCGGGAGGGTCTAGGCCAGAAACGTCAGCCTTTCTGCTCCTATTATGCTGCTTGGCCTGCTGTGTTCATTCAGCTCTGCACCTTGTTGTCTTGGATTCTCCAGCATCTGCAGTTCCTACTATCTCAGAGTTATAGAGGAAGTGTTTTGGCCATTAGGTGCCAGTTTGTAGGACCTAGGTGAGCAGGAAATAGCCAGTCTCTGTGCTGTGGCTCAGTGGGACCTGCCCAGGTAAGATCTGAAGTTCAATTCTCATTTTAAGCCTGAGCACAAAAGACAAGGCTAACGCTGCACAGTAGGGCCAAGGGGAGACGCTGTCTTTCCGATCAGATGTTAACATGTTTTGGGGCATGGGTACCACATTGATTGGAGGAAGTTGGATCAGTTTTGCATCTAGGACCAGCGGGTGGTAAGCCTGTGGAATTAACTACCACAGGAAGTAGTTGAGGCTAAAACATTCTGTGTTTTTAAGAAGAGCTCTTGTGGCTAAAGGGATATGGGGAGAGGGCAGAATTAAAGTATTGCTCTAAATGATCATCCATGATCATATTGAATGGTGGAGTAGGCTTGAGGGATTAATGACCTACTCCTGCTCCTATCTTCTATGTTTTTATGTTTCTAGGTTTGCACAGAGATTTTGGAATTGCATTTCTAATACTCGTGTCTATGAGATTCATGTTCTAGCGTATTACATACAAGGAGTATGATATAATTGCCCACATCAACTCCAGGGTTTTAAGTCTCTTATTTAATTAATATCAGGTAGGACAATAAATTAAGCCACCCCACAATGAGGTGAAACTCAGGAATTCCCACTCTTTAAATCTCTTATGCCACCATCTTCTATCTCCATCTTGAGAAACAGCCTCAAAAGCTCTCAATTAAATTCATCCCAGTTTCTGTCCCAGTTCTTGCATGGGGCTCCGTTCTCTCCTGTGAAGCTGCTTACTTCATGAAAGGGACTAAACAAAGTCCTAAGGTAATGATAGTACGAACTGAAGAGGCTGGAGTCAGAGATAACGCAGCATGAAGCTAGAGGAACACAGCAGCATCCGAGGAGCAGGAAAGTTGACATTTCGGGTCGGGACATTTTTCTGAAGAAAGGTCCCGACCCGGAACGTCAACTTTCCTGTTTCTCTGCTGCTGCCTGGCCTGCTGCGTTCCTCCAGCTCCACACTGTGTTATCTCCTAAGGTAATGTAGTGCAGCAGTGTAGTGGTTATGTAAATGTGCCAGACATTCTGAGGACTGGTTTTATAATCCAGGGAGCTTTAGTTCAAACCTCACTGGAGGGTGTTTCTCCACAAATAACCCCATATTCAATGATATCATAGTCCATCTGATCAGTGCAAAAGACAAGACTGAAATATTTGCAGTCATTTGCAGCCAGGTGTGCTGGGTGGATGATTTGCTTCAGCCTCCTCCTGAGATCACAGAATCACAGATGTCAGTCTTTATTGAATTTGATTCACTCCCAGTGATATCGAGGACTACCTGAAGGCCCTAGAAATTGGAAAAACCATGGGACCCCGACAACATTCACAGAGTCACAGAAGCCTTACATGTAGATGGAAGCCATTTGTCCCATTGTATCTGCACCACCTCTTCAAATAATCACCATTACTTAGTGCCAATCTCCTGCTTTCTCCCCATACCTTTACATATTATTTTTGTTCAAATAATCATCCAATACTGTCTTGAATGCCTCAATTTAATCTGCCTCCACCACACTTCTAGGCAGTGTATTGCATTGTTCAACTACTAATTGACTGAACATTTTTTTCTCACATCGCCCTAGCTTCATTTGCACATCACTTTAAAGCTATCCCATATTGGTCTGCTTCTTTGTACAAGCAGCAAATATTTCTGTCTACTCAGGGTGGCAATGTAGCTCAGTGGTTAGCTCTGCTGCTTCATGGTGCCAGGAATTCGGGTTCGATTCCAGCCTGGGGTGACTGTGTGTGGAATTTGCATGTTCTCCCTGTGTCTTGATGCTCCAGTTTCCTCTCACAGTCCAAAGATGTGGAAGTTAGGCGGATTGGGCATAGGAAATACAGGTTTATAGGGCTGGGTGGGGTGTGGTATGGCCTGTTTCCACACTGTAATGATTCTATGATACTCTATCCAGTCCATTCATGATTTTGAAAATCTCAATCTGCGCTCCTCATGGTCTTCTACTCTCCAAGGAGAATAGACACAAGTTCATCAATTTGTCCTCATAGCTGAAGTTTCTTGTCCTTGGAACCATTCTTGTAAACTGCTTCTGCACTGTCTCCAACGCATTGACATCTTTCTTACACAAAACTCCAAATGAGGTCTTATCTGGCAATAGTACTGAAGACATGTACTCCAGAACTAACTGTGCCCCTGTTTAGCTGTTCCAGGAGCCCTAGCAAAACTGTAGTCAATAGGAATTGGGGGAAATCTCTCCTCTGGTTGGAGTTATAACTAGCACAAAAAATGGTTGTTCTTAGAGATCAATCATCGCAGGTTCAGGCAATGACCATCTCCAACAAGAACAAATCTAACTATTGTACCTTGATGTTCAATAGAATTATGATCACTGAATCCCCCACTATTAACATCCTAGCAATGGGCAATAAATGCTGACTCAGCCAGCAATGCCTACATCTGATGAGTGTAATAAAAAAAGTCAGGAATCTGATGGAATACTCTCCACTTGCCTGGATGCTCCAACAACACTCAAGAAGCTTGACATCATCCAGGACAAGGCAGCCCTTGCTTGGCATGCTATCCATAACCTTCAACACTCTCTCCCTTCACCACCCACACACTGTGGTAGTGGTGTGTACCATCTACAAGATACACTACAGTAAGTCACCAAGGCTCCTCCAACAGCATCTTCCAAACCTCCAACTTCTACCCAGCTGCAGAAATATCAGAACAGCACCATCTGCAAGGCATTCACCATCCTGATTTGGAAATATATCATTGTTCCTTCACTGTTGGGTCAAAATCCCAGAGTTCCCTCCCCAATTGCATTGTAACCTGAAACTGAACTGGATTAGTCATTATAAGCTGTGCGGTGACAAGGGCAGGTTAGAAGCTGGAAACCCTGCAGCATGTAACTGACTTCCTGGCTCCTCAAAGCTTGTTCACCATCTGCAAGTCTCATCCCTCCAAGCCACTCTCCATCCTGCCTTGGAAATATATCCCATCCCTTCACTGTCGCTAGGGGAGGGCTGAGTAGAGGTTATTAAATTTTCCAGGACAAGTAAAAGGATGCAGAATATCAAAAGGCTCAGAAATCTAATTTCAGGCACAGCAGTTAAGGGGACACCTATGAGAAGGGGCATTCAACGCAGGACTGAGGGCATTGTACTTAAATGCACACAGTATACGAAACAAGGTGAATGAGCTCGTAGAGCAGACTGAAATTGGCAGGTATGATGTTGTGGGTACCACACAGAAGTGGATGTAAGGGGATCAGGGCTGGGGACTAAATATCCCAACATATGCATCGTAATGAAAGGACAGACTGATGGGCAGAGGGGGTGGGGGTTGCATTGTTAGTAAGAGATCGAATTAAATCAGAATACTGAATGGCCTGGACAGAGTGGATGTTGGGAAGATGCTTCCATTGGTCGGACAGACTAGGACCCGAGGGCACAGCCTTAGAGTAAAGGGAAGACATTTTCGAATGGCGATTAGGAGAAACTTCTTCAGCCAGAGAGTGGTGAATCTATGGAATTCACTGCCACAGAAGGCTGTGGAGGCCGGGTCATTGAGTACATTTAAGACTGAGATGGATACGTTCTTGATTATCAAGGGGGAAAAGGGTTACAGGGAGAAAGCGGGAGAATGGGGTTGAGGAACTTATCAGCCATGATTGAATGGCGGAGCAGACTCGATGGGCCAAATGGCCTAATTTCTGCTCCTATGTCTTATGGTCTTATGGTCTTAAATTGATAGCAGGAAGTGATATAGAGTCAGAAGGTGTAGAACCTATGTGGGTAGAGTTGAGGAATCATGAAGCAAAAAGGACGCTGCTGGGGTTGGGAGTTGTGTACAGGCCTCCTAGCAGTAGTTGAGATGTGGGGCGGAAAACAAATGAAGAGATAGAAAAGACGTAAGAATGACACTATTACAATAATCACGGGGGTCTTCTACATGCAGGTGAACTGGGAAAATCAGGTTGCTGGCGGATTCCAAGAAATGGAATTCGTGGAATGTCTATGAGATGGTTTCTTTGGAGCAGCTTGTGGTAGAGCCCACTAGGGGAATAGGCAGCTCTGAATTTGGTGATGTGTAATGAGGCAGAGTTAATTAGGGAGCTTAAGGTGAAGAAACCCCGAGGGGACAGTGACCACACTATGATAGAAATCACCCTGCTGTTTGAGAGGGAGAAGCTGGAATGAGATATAACAGTATATACAATTGAGTAAAGGTAACTACAAAGACATAAAGGAGGTGTTGGCCAGGGTTAATTGGAAGGGGAGCCTAGCAGGGAAGACCGTGGAGCAGCAATGGCAAAAGGTTTTGAGCGTAATTGGGAGGCATAGCTGAAATTCATCCTGAGGAAGAAAAAGCATACTAAGGGGAGTAGGAGGAAACCATAGCTGACAAGGGAAGTCAGGGACAGCATAAAATTAAAAAAAAAGCATAGAATGTGGTGGAAATCAGTGGGAAGCCTTTAAAAACTAGCAGAGGATAACGAACAAAGAAATAAGGGGTAAGAAGATGAAATATGAAACTAAGAAAGCAAGTAAGATAAAAGAAGAGGCATTCATGGTGATCTTTCAGGAATCACTGGAGTCAGGGAGGGTCCCAGAGGACTGGTAAATGGGTAATGTAACACCCCTGTTTAAAAAGGGCAGGAGGCAGAAGACAAGACATTATTGACTGGTTAGCCTGACATCGGTCGTTGGTAAGATTTTAGCATCTGTTAAGGATGAGATTACAGAGTACTTGGAAGTGCACGGTAAAATAGGGCTGAGACATCACAGCTTCATCAAGGGGAGGCCATGACTGACAAATCTGTTAGGATTCTTTGAGGAGGTAATGAGCATGTTAGACAAAGGAGAGCCAGTGTATGTGGTCTATTTGGATCTTCAGAAGGCCTTTGACAAGCTGTCGCACAGGGGCCTGCTAAATAAGATAAGAGCCCATGGTGTTAGGGACAAGGTACTGGCATGGATAGAGGATTGGCTTACTGGCAGAAAACAGTGAGTAGGGATAAAAGGGTCTTTCTTGGAATGGCAGCCGGTGACTAGTGGATATCTGCAGGAGTCAGTGTTGGAGCACAACTAGTTACATTATACATTAACGATCTGGACAAAGGAACTGAGGGCATTATTGCTAGGTTTACAAATGAAACAAAGAAGGTGGAGTGTCATGCAATGTTGAGGAAGGTGGATAGGCTGCAGCATGAATTAAACAGGCTTGGAAAGTAGGCAGAGAAGTGAGAGATGGAATACAGTGTGGGCAAGTGTGAGGTTATGCACTTTGGTCAGAAGAATAAGGGTGTAGACTATTTTCTAACTGGGGAAAGGCTTCAGAAATCTGAAGCACAAAGGGACTTGAAAGTTCTACTTCAGGACTCTCTTAAGATCGATGTGTAGGTCAATTGACATTTAGAAAGGCAAATGCAACACTAGCATTCATTTTAAGAGGGCTAGAATACAAGAGCAGAGATGCACTGCTAAGTTGTCTAAGGCTTCCAGTGCCACCACATCATTTTTTATAACATCACAGCTTACATTCATGTGGCACATTTACTGTCTAAAAAAAGTCTCAAACTCACAAGTGACTTAAGACAAAATGTTTGCTCAACCAAAGAAGGTGATGTTCAAAGTGGTGGCCGAATCTTTAGTCATGAGTTGGAACAGTTAAGATGATGAGGCCAGAGGGTTAATGGAGGGAATGTGAGAATGGGAGACTGTGTTGAACAGCCAACGCTTGGGCAATGAAGAGGTAATACACAAAAGAGCCTGGGCTGGAGAAATATGGAAGAACTTAGAGGATAAGGAAATCCTCAGATGGATTGAAATCAAGAATGGAATTAAGGTATTGGGAAATTGGAAGCCAATACAGATCAGAGAATGTGAGAGGGATCAGTGGAATAAGATTTGGTGCAAGGCGGTGATCTGAAGAGTTTTGAATAAACCGTAGTTCTGAGGGTGAAGGATGCAGAACAGTCAAGGATGAATATTAATTGTTGAAAATAGAGATAAGAAAGGTGTGCATGAGGGTTACAATGGTATCTGGGTTGAGGCAGGGTGGAAATAAGCAATATTAATGAGATGGATATAGGCAGTCTTGGTGAAACAGGGCATAAGGGGTCAGAATAAAAGCCTGAAAAGACTGGGCCTATACCCAGCGGGGTTTAGAAGAATGAGAGGTGATCTTATTGAGATAGATGGAAATCTCCCATTTAAAACTGAGACAAGGAGAAATGTTCTTCTGTCAGAAGGTCATTGGTCTGTGGAATGAAAACAGCGGAATTTGCTCACTGAATTTCCTCAAGGCTTAATGAAATAGATTATTGACAGACAAGAGAGTTCAGGATTTTGGAGTGCAGACTGGAAAGTGGAGGTGAGACCACAATGTGACCTTATTGAATGGAGGTGCAGGCTTGAAGGGCTGAATGGCCCACTCCTGCTGCTAGGCCCTACATTCCTAAGCTCTGGCCAAGATAACATGGTGAGAGCATGGACAGCTTAAATGTGGGAGGAGAATGAAATTAGTGACATGTGCCTAAATGGAAGATACATTTCCACCTTGCTCAATGAACCCTGCTTTATTTTTGTTTCTTTAAAGGTAAACTTTGAAGATGTGATTGCAGAGCCTGATTCAGTGCATAGTTTTGACAAAGTCTGGATTTGGAGTGATGCATTGTTTGAAGTATCTAAGTTATGGTGCTATCGAATCATCTCACTTATATTTGCTGTGCCAGTGTCTTTAATCTCTGGACTCATTTTCGCTCTTTTAAGTTGCCTGCATATCTGGTGAGTATAAATCAAAACTGAACGTTGTCAATGTGACATTTTACATTTTTCTCACTCAACAGCTGTTTGCAGTTGTGAATATCGAGCACAGATTCAACTCTGAAAATTTACTTTTGGGCACCTTCCTCCCATTTCCTTCCCCTCCTTTTCTGAAGGTATTGACCTCTGATGGAGAATGAAGTAGGCAGTGAGCTAACAGTTCCTCAGTCAGGTAGCCATTCCTCTCATAAGAGTTTTGGCATTGAGCATCACAGTAACAATCTGCATTTACATAGCACCTTTGACAACGTTTCAACAGACATCCACATGCACGGAGGGGACCTGTGAACGGCTTTGAGTGGAGCAGAGGAGGGGTGATTCGTAACATTAAGAACAACAGTAGACTGTTCAGCTCCTTGGGCCTGCACACATTTCATTGAATATAGTCTTGGAATGGCCACAGTGTGGAAGTAGACCATTAGTCCGTCATGTCCGTGATGACTCTATGCAGGAGCAACTCAGCACGTCCCACTGCCCCATCCTTTCCTTTTAGTAAAATCTTTCTCTTCAGGTCATTATCTAATATATATTTTGATGGCCATGATTGATCCTTCTGCCGCCACACTCTCAGACAGTGCAGTCCACATCCTAAGCACCTGCTGCATGAGAAAGAGTTTCCTCAGTGTTATTAGTTCTTCTGTGAAGTATTTGAAACTGGTATCCTCTGGTCACAAACTCATCACCCGTTTCTCTTTATCCACGCTGTCTAGACCCATTACGATGTTGAACACCTCTATCAATTCTTTCAGATCAACAGCTGAGCCTCAAATACCTGTGTTACCTCCAAATCGCTCGATAGGGCTCTTGTAGTGAATGGTAGTGGCCCTACCCCTGGACCAGAAGGCCTGGGTTTAAGTCCCACCAGTTCCAGAGGTGTGTCATAGCATGTCTGAACAGGTTAATTAAAACTACGTAAAACCAGATCACATGGGCTAAATGGCATCCTCACTTTGTATGTGAGCTGCTATCTCCACATCCCCTGACAGGGCTGTTGTGGCACAGTTATAGTGTCCATACCTCTGAGCCGCCAGGACGCCCAGGTTCAAGTCCTGCTTGCTCCAAAAGTATGTCATAACAGCTTGATTAGAGAGTATCTTCACAAAATATGTCCTTGATAGTTCATCCAAATTTTACAAACAAATTCCACTTGTCTTAGCATTTACTGCTCTTAAGGGGTCAGAGTTCCAAATCTCATTTCTGAAGAAGGGTCCTGACCCAAAACGTCAGCTTTCCTGCTCCTCTGATGCTGTCTGGCCCGCTGTGTTCATCCAGCACCACACTGTGTTATCTCCAAATCTCTACCTTTTGTGTGAAGAAGTACTTTGTGATTTCTCTCCTGAACTCATCCATTTCTCCAACTCATGTCTGTTCACCTTTCGTTCTTTACCTCGCAGGACGTTGGCCTATTTAAAGTGAAACATCCCACAGCCTTAATGAATGTCAGGTCATCCCTGTAAGGTGTGCTAATTTAATTCATCTTGATGGGGTTGGTAATGGTCACTGTAATCAGGGAAGGGGGAACAGCAAAATCAGACAGGGTACCCAGTCATGGGCAGGGAATCTTCCTGTAAAGTGTTGCTGTTATACACGAAAATACACAGTGCAGTATTTACAGACAATGAGGAGAGAAATAGACAGAATTCCATTTCCACACAGTCAAGCCCATTACTTTCTGATAATGTCACCAAAATAGTTGGTTATAGCTGGAAAATAATTCAATTTCAAATATTTAGCTCTGGGAGATGAAATACCAGTTACTTCTACAGGAGCAACACTTATAAAGTTCACAGCTTGTTGATTGCTTCTTTGTTTTTTTTAAGGAGTCACATAATAAGGACAATAGGTATGACAACCTAAAGTTGCCAAAGTGCCAGTGGACCCTAGGGCTGGCCTCTCATTAAAGAGGGATGACTGCTAGTTGGTTTAACCTGAGGGTCACCAAGCCTCAGGTGAGTTGAGAAGGTGATAACGTCATATCCAGCTTTGAACCGACAAAGTGGCAAGTAATATTCACATCACATAAGTGTCAACTAATGACCATCTCCAACAAGGGAAACTCTAGATCCTTCACATTCAATGGTATAACTATCACTGAATTCCCTTCTATCAACATCCTGGGGTTACCATTGACAAGAAAGTGAACTGGATAATCCATTTAAATACTGTGGCTATAAGAACAGGGGCTAACAATCTTGCAGTGAGGAACTTACCTCCTGACTCCCCAAAGCCTGTCCTCCATCTAAAAGGCACAGGTCAGGAATGTGATTGAATACTCCCCATTGGCTGGATGAATGCAGCTTCAATAAACTTGCCACCATTCAGGATAAAGCAGCCAGCTTTATTGGTACCCCGCCCACAAGCATTCATTCCCTCCACAGTGTGCCATCTACAAGATATACTCAGACATTCATTATGAAATTCGCTAGAAATTCACCTTAGACAGCACTTTCCAAACCCACAACCACTTCACTCTAGAATGACAAGGGGCAGCAGATACATGGGAACACCGCTATCTGCAACTTCCCCTCCAAGCCACTCGCCATCTTGACTTGGAAATATATTGCTGTTCCTTCATTTGTCATTGGGTCAAAATCATGGAATTCCCTTCCTAACAGCATTGTGGGTGTAGCTACAGCACATGGACTGCAGCAATTCAAGAAGGCAGTTTACCACCAACGCCACAGGCAATAAGTGCCAGCCCAGTCAATGATGCATACATCCTTTGAGTGGATATAAAAACAATTGATGTGATAGATGAGGAGAAAATACTTCCACTTGTGAGTTCAAAACTAAGGGACATAAACATAAGTTAAACATTAATAAATCCATTAGGAAGGTCAGGGGTATCCTCTTTATCATAGCTTGGATTTAATAAGCTCCCTCATTGACATGGAATGACATCCATTGGGTAGTCTTGTACCATTTAGCTTCTCAAAGTGAAATTTTATGGGATGGGTCAGGCATCAGTTGGGCTGATGTACTTTTGCGTCTATTGAGGCCCTCAGTTGGACAATTAATGGCTGTCTAAAGGGCTCATCGCACCACTGCCAGTGTTTTATCCCTGGCAGGGGAATGCCATACCGTATGGGAAGCTTCAGTTATGTGACTGGTATCAGGCAAAGTGTTAATCTCCTTTATCATTCCTCCTGGCCCACTTGGAGGCAACCAAACCCCTCCTGTCGTTGTTGTTTACCGCTAGCCACCACTCCCTGGCCTCTTAAACTGAGCCACTTCAGTCCCCTTGTCCCAGTTATGCTCCTTGCCGCTTGATGAGACATTTGATTCTGGATTTAATTGGCTTCCTCAGTTTTGAAAAATGCCTGTAGTGCCACACCATGGAGTTGCTGGCCATCTAATTGTCCAGCAACTCTCTCTCTAATGCTCTGTAAGGGCTTACTCTTCGGATAGCAGAGGTCTTGCCACCCCCAACCATGACCCCACCCCCCCGCCCCAATCCCATCTCCCATGTGAGCCCCCCCTACCCCGTGTCCATGGTCGCTCCCTACACCTGGCCATCTCATGTAGGCACTCTACTTTATTTGTGTCAATTGGATGAGGTAATATCGAAGTAGTTCATTGTCACTTAAGTCCCCCTTCCCACCATGCCCAACCACGATTCCTTCTAATATCCTTTCCTGAAAAATCTCTGCCCTGTTGTATCTTGCTGTCCTCTGGTGAACATCCTGGAATGTGCAGATAACTTTTGCCTTCTGCCCACTGCTACAAACTACTTTCCTGTCTCCTCCAGCCTCCCCTCCAACTGCTAGCGTCTGGAGCTCATGTTTCTTTTTTGTCATTGAAATTGAGATATCCAATCAGTTACCTCAGCCGCTTCCAACCTTTCTCTTTCGCACCAAACCAAGCTTCCCATTAATTTCCCTGATCCTAGCCCTGATCTTGCATCCTTCTCTCAATTCTCTCTTATCTGCCCTCTATCCCCTCTGAGCTCACCTTGTTCATGTGACCCATCTTCAGCTCTTTTGATCCTATCCACTAAATAGGTTACCAGCCAACAGACCTCCATTGTCTCTGATGGTAGCTGATATTATCTCCCATCCGGTGCTGTACCTCCTCCCTCAATTCCAACGTCTTCTCACCTCCCCTCAAGAACCTCATCCTCAACCTCTCTCTGTTCCTGAAAATTTACTGCCCCAATTTTCCTTCCCTCCTCAAGGTCCCTGAAATGTGTTGTTTTCTCCCAGATGATCCTGGATCTCCCTGTTCGAATCCCTCCAATCTGATTTCACTGAAGCATTATCAGACAGAATTAGATACTGAGACACATAAGGGCAGTGGGACACAGGACTCCACAGTATGGTTTTGAACTAGAATGCCAAGTTTAGAACTGGTATGTGCCTTCACTCAAAATGGCACTGCCAACTCAAGATGTGATCATTTTGTGCAGTTTCAACGTACATTTCAACTCACTCTGCCTCCTTCCCTTAGTTTTGACTGCCCTCTGATACTATTCTCAAGTGGTCAAAGCGGTGGATTTTGAGGCAGTTCTTGAGATAATGGAGAGAGAGATTTAATGAGTGCATTCCAGAGTTGAGCACTTTGGCACAAAGATTAAAATTGGGGATGCTAAAGAGGCTAGAATTGGAGAAGTGCACATGGCAGATGACTGGAGGAAATTTCTGAATCAGGGAGGGTTCAAGGCTGAAAGCAGACATGGGCACCCTGTGTGATTGAGACCTTGATAAGCTATTTCTTCTCAATCTTCTGGACCTGTTTGTGCACAGCAAGGCTCCTATAAACAGCAATGTGATAATGTCCTGATTTAGTAATGTTGATTGAGAGCTAAATATTGGTCAGTATTGTCATCCTATTTGACCCTGAGATTTGTTTCTGACTTGATACCACCTCGATCTCCCAAACCAATAACTTCCACCTCTGTTCTTACTTCAGATTATTTGCTGCTAAAAGCCTCGTCCATGTTTTTGTTACCTCTAAACTTTACTAGCCCACTCCCAGATAGTCTCATAGCTTCCACCTCCAGACCCTTGAGCTCATCCAAAACTCTGTTGTCTGTATCCCAACTATCTTCAAATTCTGCACATCCATTACCCCTGTGGTCACTGACAGTCTGTGTTCAGCTATGCCTCATTTGCCAAACTCACATTCTTGTCTTCAAATGCCTCTGTGGCATTTACCTCCCTATCTAAGTAACTTCCTTCAGCTGTACAACCACTCAACATCTTGACCTTCTTCCAATTCCAGCTTCCTGCACACATCCCTGATTTGAATCGCTCCACAGTTGGCAGCCATGCCTCAGTTGTTTAGGAGTTCTGGAATTCTATCCTTGAAAACAAAATCCTTTGCTGCTCCACACCTCTCTATCTTCCTGTCAGATGCTGCTTCAAGACTACTTCATTAACATTTGGTCACCTGTCTCAATGAGGTGGCTTGACATCAAATCTTCTTTGATAATTCCGCTGCGAAATATCTTGAAGGGTAACTCATTACACAAAAGATGGAAAACTGCAAACTCCTTCAGTTCTGAGGAAGGATCCCGAAACATTAACTCTGATTTCTCTCCACAGATGCTGCTGGAATGCTGAGCTTTTCCAGCAACTTCTGTCCTTATAACTGCAAAACTGTTGCTGTGATGAACACAAGTTGTTAATATTCTGATAATAATATTGGCATTTTGTCACTGCTTATCCAGGTGTGTCATGCCCTGCATCAAGAACTTCGTGATGAACATGCCTTCCATTCAGACCATCTGGGGGAGTATTGTGGACCTGATCATTTCCCCTTGCTGTGAGAGTATGGGGAGATGTTTCAGTGGCATCAACCTACACATATCCCGCGATTAAAATTCCACCTCCTTGCGAGTGGCTGGATCCAATTGATTCGTCAGTCTGGATTCTACACCAGCATTCTGACCACAGGAACCCGTACAAAGCCATAAATCCGAAGCCCTGGCTTCTTTCGAACAGGTGTACAATGCAAATGCCGGGTCAGCCGTTTTTTAAAGTGCTCGGTTTCCATGGCAACTTTGAAATTCTTTCGTATTAAATAACTGCTGCAAACATGCTATTGCAGGCAAAGCTGGGGAAATTAAAAATCAAGGAATGCATCCAGCTATATCATAAGTCATTGTACGTCCTGAAATAAACTCAAAGTGCGCTTGTTAAGTTGTGATTTTTATTTTGAGTGGAAATGCTGCAGCAGCTCTCAACCCAGTTCGGCCAAAATTCCTTTAATGCTTGCTGTTGTTTTGGATTAAGTAACTATCTATAACTTTTTAATGTCCTTAAAGCTTCTCAGGGAGTAACCTCAAAGCCATTGGCTGCTTTAAATACTGTAACAGTATCCCAGCTGCTGGGAGCCTGGCTGTTTATGGAAGCATCTAGCAATAATTTTAAGTGATCCCTTTCAACTCTGTACTACACTGCTGGTAAAGGTGGCTATTTCAATCCAACTCAGCCAGGAATGGCTGAATGGCATCTTTTGTTTTTATGAAAAATGGTTTTTGCTTTTTACCCTGAACCACATTGTTTTCCTTTGAAGCTTCCAATTGTTCATTTATGAGATCACCCACAGTCATACAGTCATACAGCATAGAAACAAACACTTTGGTCCAACAAGTCCATGTTTCCAAACTAAACTTAGTCCCGCCTGCCTGCTTTTGGCCCATATCCCTCCAAATCTTTCCTATTCATGTACTTATCCAGATGTCTTTTAAACATTGAAATTATATCTGCATCCACCATTTCCTCTGGAAGTTTATTACACACACAAATCACACTCTTCCTCTCATCTTAAAAAATAGCCCAATAGTCTCAAAATCCCCCATCCTACCAAAAAGACACCTGCCATTCATCTTCCCTATGCCCCTCATGATTTTATAAACCTCAGTAAGGTCACCTCTCAACCTCCATTGCTCCAGTGAAAAACCACCCTATTTAGCCTCTCCCCATAACTCAAACTCTCAATTTCCGGAAAAGTCCTGGTAAATCTCTTCCGGATCCTCTCCAGCTTAATAATATCCTTGCTATAACAGGGCGACCAGAACTGGACACAGTACTCCAGAAGAGGCCACACCAACGTCCTGTGCAGCCTCAACATGAGCTTCCTAAATCCTATACTCAAAGGTCTTGAGTGATGAAGACACTTTTTTGTTTTCTTACCTTCCTCCTGATTTAAAGGATAAATATGTTTTGTTTGATTCACATGCATATGTACCTATTGTGTGCATATATAAAAATATACATATATAAAACTATTTAAACTGACTGTTGGTCATACCTTTTTCTTATTGTCAAGATGAGTAATAAGGATGTTGATAAGGCTTAAGACAATGGTGTATTGTGTAGAGATAGAGTGTATTCTATTACCTATAGTTGTTGAGGTCTCCCACCACTGTTGACCAAGTGGGTCAAGTCATTCAAGTGTTCCCATCAGTTTTGCTTGTTATCATAGAAGCAGTTTGCTGTGTCCAGGTGTAATAATCTTCTAGCTTTTTGGGATATGATTTTCCTGATCATTGTTGCCAGGGCTTAAACATTCAGTAAGGGTAAAAGTCAGGGAAAAGGGAGATGAGACCTTTTGCATTAGGTCTTGACCCCCAACTACTGTCCTCGGATAGAGCTTGGGCAGCGTATACAAGAAGCCATGACTGGGGTCTTGTGGCAAAGTGGTAGTTTCCCCAGCTCTGGGACAGAAGGTCTGGTCTCAAATCCCACCTGCACAAGACATGTGTCTTGGCTTGTCTGTCAGGTTGAGTTTTAAAAATATCTGTGCTTGATTAATGCTCTTCACTGAAATGCAAATAAAATGAAAGGTGTGTTCCCTGAATTGATAACACTGGCATATCTCTGCCCACTGAAGACCATGGATAACACTTACTATTCTTCCTTGTTCCAGAGGCAGTGCAAACATATTAAAGGACAGAACATTTCCTGTGACTAATTCTGAACAATTCTGGTAGAAATTCCCTGTTTAAAACTGGATATGAGTGGGTGGGCAAATTACCATTTAAACACCATATCTAAGGTTTCATGCAATCTACAATTCCTAAATTTCAGAACTGCAACCTGAATTCACAAAAGAGTTTTAATCTGGCAATTGTCCTGACTGAACATTAATCTCAGACCGTATTTATTTATTGGAGTTAATGTTTTTGAGCTTCCATAATAACTCAGTTGAGGACAGCAAGTTTGTAGAAATAGCTCATTTGTTTCACTAGTGTCTGTTGATCAGGTCTCTGGGGAAAACTAGACTTCTTTGAAATACAAAGGATGGTGGTTCCAAAGGATAACACCTGCAATAGTTCAGCACTCCCTCAGTAGTCACTGGAGTATCAATGGATTAAGGATTGCATTTCCGAAGTGCAAGTTGAAGCCACCACTTCCAAATTGAGAGACCAGGGTACTATATGCACTGTGCCATGTTCACTGCTGCCATTTAATTCACGTGAGCTGGAGACTGACTAATGGAAATAGTGAATTACTTCAAGAAGCCATGTGAAAGTCACTGGAGAAATCGCCTTGATCCATCTCACCAGAAATTTTGATACTTATTTTGTTAAAATGTTTCTTTCCTCAGATACCAAAGCCGTCCATGTTTATAGGTAATAAGATCTGAACAAATTTCATGGCTGAAAAGTGGTAAGAATTATTTATGATTTACAAGGCCAGAAAATGACCATCTCTAACAAGAAGAGAATCTAACCAGCTCCTCTTGACCTTCAATGGTGTTGCTATTACTGATTGCACTGCTATCAACATCCTGGGGATTACCATTGACCAGAAACTTAACTGGACCAGTCATATCATATTACAAAGCAGTCCACTGGACTTGGCAGTCATACATCACCCTCAACATTCACTCCCTTCAGCACAACCAATACACAGTGGCCAAGCAGTGTGCATCATCTTTAAGAGCTACTGCAGTATCTCACCAAGCTTCTTCAACATCTCCTTCCAAATGCACAACCTCTCTCATCTGGAAGGGCAACGGCTACACATGCATGGAAATATCACTACCTGCAAATTTCCTTCCAAGTCAGTCACCATCCCACCTTTCTTCCACTGTTGCTGGGTCAAAACCCTGAATCTCGCTTCTAATAGTACCTTGAGTGTTCCTGCACTGCATGGACTGCAACGGTTCAAGAAAGCAGCTCACCATCACCTTGTCAGGGGCAATTAGGGATGGGCAATAATTTCTGGTTTAGTCAGCAGCGTCCACATCGCGTGAAGGAGTAAACAAAAATGATTTCACTGAATTCTCTGGAACTATACAACTCCCTTGTTTCTCTCCAGCCTATTCCATGCATTCACTACCCAATGAGTATAATAGTTGAAACTGGACTGTTTGCATGCCGCTTAAACTGGAGTGGGTTCTCAATTTGTCACAGGAGTTGTGGGACATGCTAGACACTATATGGTCTTTGGTTTATCTATACTCCTGTAGAAATTTTGTTTTGAATTTCCTGAGCTGCCTTTGTTCAATGCTAAATATCCCTAGTTTGCTCAAGTTTTCTTTATAACTCAGGGACCTAATCTCAGTTCAATTTCCTTTCTCGATATCATGTAAAAAAAATACCTGCACTATCATTTCAGCTTTCTCACAACACCCTTTACATTTTTACAGCTAGATTACCAACGCTACAATCAGACTAAATCTCTTTGAATCATAAACTTGCACCATTTTCTGAAATAAAAGAAAACATGTTGGAAACACCCTGCATGTCTAACACACATCTGTGGGCACAGGAACAGAATGAATGATCTAATGTAATCACTTTTTGACATAATGGGAAAATATAAGAGATGTGAGAAGCTTTAAGCAAGTACAGATGCAAAGAAAGTTGTGAGGTGTTGGTAACAAAATGGAAGGTCGGTGAAAAGGTAAAGGGCAGGAAGGATTAAATTGCAAAGGGTCCGTGATGCGAGGCAGTCTGGAGCTGGTACTGAAACAAGTAAAATAACAAAACAAGTGATATTCATGCCACATAGTGCTGGTCAATGAACTTCTACAACAAGAGATAATGTAACCATCATCCCTTGATATTCAGTGTCAATAAGTGAAAAGATTACTATCAACACCCTCGGTGTTATGATTGACCAGAAACTGAACTGCACCAGACATATAAATACAGTGGCTACCAGAGCAGATCAGAGGCTAAGAATCCTGCAGCAAGTAACTCACCTCCTGACTCCCCAAAGCCTGTCCACTATCTACAAGGCACAAGTCAGGAGTGTGATGGAGTACTCCCCACTTACCTGGATGGGTGCAGCCCCAACAACACTCAAGAAGCCAGACATCATCCACGACAAAGCAGCCCGCTTGACTGGCACCACATCCACAAGCATCCACTCCCTTCACCAGCTACACTCAGTAACAACAGTGTGTATTATCTATCTATAAGGTGCACTGCAGAAATTTACCAAAGATCCTTAGACAGTGCCTTTTAAACTCATGACCACTTCTACCCAGAAGGACAAGGGCAGCAGATACATGGGAGTATCAGCACCAGCAAGTTCCCCTCCAAGCCGCTCACCATCCCAATTTAGAAATTTAACACCATTCCTTCACTGTTGCTGCGTCAAAATCCTGGAATTCCCTCCCTAACGGCATTGTGGGACTACCTATAACATATGGATTGTAGCGGTTCTAGAAGGCTTCTCAAGGGCAACTAGTGACAGGCAATAAATGCTGGAGCAGTCAGCATCACCCAAATTTCATGAATGAACAAGAAAAATAACTGCAAATCGTGAAATTGAAAGAGGCAGTGCTACTTGTCAGGCTTGCATTGAGCTTCAGTGAACAGTGTAGGAGATTCGAGCGGGAGTGGAGGGGAGAATGAAAA